CTGAGAGACACAACAAAACTATTCGAACAAAAACAACAACAAAACAACGGATTTAAAACAAAAAAGACGAAAACAAAAAAAACAAAAAAACAACTTTTTCACAGAAGAACAAAACAAAACATACAAACAACAAAAAAACATGAAAACAATAATGTTTTTGTTTAACAAAAAACTGCTAAGTAGGTTAGCGCAACCGAGCTAAGTAGGTTAGCGTGGATAGACCTAACCAGATAACGAGGTTAAGATAAGCAGGTTAGCGCAAGCCAGTTAGCCTTCAATTAGCTAACCAACATGTAAGCATGCTAACCACTACGTAACCGCAGCGGCGATCTCAGCAGGGCACCCAGCGCACCTGCCCATGGGACACCCGGCGCACCTGGCACACCCAGGACACCCGGGACACCCGCGGACACCCGGAACACCCAGCACACCCGGCATATGCCGGGGACATCCGCACACCCGGCACACCCGGGACACCCGGCGGACCCGGATCACCCAGGACATCCGGGACAGTGGCACCTGGGACATCCGGCACACCACCCGGCACACCCAGGACACCCGGGACACCCGGGACACCTGGCACAACCGGGGCACCCGGCGCACCCAGGGCACCCGGGACACGACACCCAGCACACCCGGGGCACCCGGCGCACCCGGCACACCCGGGACACCCGGGACACCCTCCCGGGACACCCGGCGCACCCGGCACAACACCGGGGGCACCCGGCGCACCCAGCACCCAGAGCACCCGGCGCACCCGGGACCACCGGCGAACCCAAGACACCGGGGATACCTGGCGTACCCGAGACGCTTGGCGCACCCGGGACACCTGGGACACCCGGGACTCCCGGCACACCCGGGACACCCGGGACACCCGGGACACCTTGCACACCCAGGACACCCGGCTCACCCGGCGCACCTGGGACACCTTGGCTACCCGCGCCTGCTGGAACACCCGGCACACCCGGGACACCCGGGACACCCAGCGCACCCGGAGAACCGGGGACACCCGGAACACCTGGGACACCCGGCGCACCTGGCGCACCCCGCACACCCGGGGCACGCGGCGCACCCGGGACACCCAGCGCACCCGGCGCACCCGGCACACACAAGACACCCAGCGCACCCCACCCGGCACACCCAGCGCGCCGGGCACAACCAGAACCAGCAGAGAGCAGCTGAGACGAACAAAAAACAGCCGAGAGCAGCAGAGAGTAGGAAAGGGGAGCGGACAACAGCAGAGAACAGCAGAGACCAGCAGAGAGCAGCATAGAGCAGGAAAGAGCAGCAGACACCATCAAAGAGCAGCAAAGAGCAGCAGAGACCAGCAGAGAGCAGCGGAGAGCAGCAAACACGAGCAAACACCAGCAGAGAGCAGCGGAAAGTGGCAAAGACCAGCAGAGAGCAGCTGAGAGCAGGAAAGAGCAGCAGACACCAGCAGACACCAGCAGAGAGCAGCAGAGAGCGGGAAAGAGCAGCAGACACCAACAACAGAGAGCAGCGGATAGTGGCAGAGAGCAGCGGAGAGACGCAGCAGAGACCACCGGAGACCAGCAGAGAGCAGCAGGGACCAGCCGAGATCAGCAGAGAGCAGCAGAGACGAACAAAAAACAGCCGAGAGCAGCAGAGAGCAGCAGAGACCGACACTCACCAGCAGGGGCGAGCAGAGGGCGGCAGACATCATCAGATACCAGAGAGTAGCAGAGAGCAGTACAGAGCAGCAGAGGGCAGCAGAGGTCAGCTGAACTCTCAGAGCAGCACGGAGACCAGCAGAGCGCAGCAGAGATCAGCAGAGACCAGCAGAGACCAGCTGATACCAATAGCAGCAGGAGCAGCAGAGACCAGCAGAGACAAGCAGAGACCAGCAGACACCAGCAGCGACATGCAGAATCTGCAGAGAGCAGAGACAAGCAGAGACCAGCAGACAGCAGCAGCGACCCGAAGAGACCAACAGCGACCGGCGGGGGTCAGCAAAGAGAAGCAGAGTCCGGCCGATACCAGCAAAGTGCCACAGACAGCAGCCGAGAGCGGCAGACAGCAGCCGAGAGCAGCAGACACCAGCAGGGAACAGCAGAGAGGAGGAAAGAGCAGCCGACAACAGCAGAGAACAGCAGAGACCGGCAGAGAGCAGGAAAGAGCAGGAAAGAGCAGCAGACATCAGCAGACACCAGCAGAGAGCAGCAGAGAGCAGCAGAGAGCAGGAAAGAGCAGCAGACACCAGCAGAGAGCAGCGGATAGTGGCAGAGAGCAGCGACATCGTTTTTTTGTTTTGCAAGAATCATTTGATTTGTTTGCATAAGCGGCGCGGGCGCGCCCCAGCCGCACCCCGGGAGAGTGGTAGATTCTAAGTGGAGCGTAGTCGAATGAGAGCATGGGTGGATCGAGCCGCCCACGCCTGCGCCAAGTGTCCGTCGGGATGCCAGGATGCGGGGCGCTCTCCAGCAGTTTTGGTCCCCGACCGATTAGATGCGGGGCGCTGTGTGGCAATTTGGTACCCGATCTATACCCGACGGCCTCTGTGTACCTGTGCTGGGCAGCTCTGGCATGCTGGTTTCGCGCAGGGCACAAGAGAGGAGGAGGATCAGGACCAGGAGTAAAGGGAAGATCAAGCTAGCCAGTTCGAGCGAGTCAAGCATGGCATGCACATTCCCACCGTGATTCCCACCCGCCCTCCCACAACATAAGAAACAGTGATGGCGCAAGTGGTAACCGAAATCAATCGTCAAGGTGGTGTGCCACAGCTGATGCAGCCGCCATGGTGGTTACCGATGGGGAAGTCCGCGCCCGTCTCAATGGCTGCGCTGGCACTTCAGCACGAGCCGAGGATGCCCCAGGAGGCCCCAGGAAACCTCAGGAGGCCCCAGGAGGCTTCAGGAGGTGGTGGGAAGCTCCAGGGGGCCCCAGGTGGCTTCAGGAGGCCGCAATTCGCATTGCCGACGACAAGACAGGCCATGTTGACAAGAAAAGCGGAGACTTTGTATTGAGGTTTTACAGTCAGGATGGGAGGGCCTAGATTGACGTCCGCGCGGGACGTGCGCCGCGTCCCATTCCTGCCACGCAGTTCGCATCGTCGACGACAAGACAAGCCGTGTTGGGAGGATAAACGGGCATTTTGTATTGATGTCTCAGTCTGGATTGGAGAGCCCGGATGCAACCGCCATCGGCCGGACAGAGGGGAGAGTAGGAGTATATACAAATAAGGAGTAAGGATGAGGAGGATGTGGAACGATATTGCCATGCATCTTCCCGTCCCATGTCCCCCTCTGTATACGTACGTCCTTACAGATTTTCTTTGTTCACACATGGACGCGCACATTTGAAAGACAGGCGCCCTGCGGGCTTCGTAGCAGACCTGGCGCACCCAGGACAACACCCGGCGCACCGAACGCACCCAGCGCCGAGCGAACCCGATGCACGTGGCGCACACTCCGCACTGAGCGCACCCGGCGCCGAGTGCACCCGGCGCACCCAGTACACCTGGCCGACCGGCACCCGGCGCCGAGTGCACCCGGGATACTTGCAGCGCACCCGGCACCGAGCGCACCCGGCGCCGAGTGCACCCGGCGCACCCGGTGCACCTGGCGGCCGGGCACCCGGCGCCGAGTGCACCCGGGACACCCGGCGCACCCGGCGCCGAGCGCACCCGGCACACGCAGCACACCCAGCGGCCAGGCACCCGGCGCCGAGTGCACCCGGGACACCCGGCGCACCTGGCGCCGAGCGCACCCAGCACACCCGGCACACCATGGCACACCCAGCGCACCCGGCACCCCGCACAGGCAACTGTTATGCTCGGCGTGGCCGATGCACTGTAAGACATTATTTTGTTCGTATGGTGCTCACTTGGTTTCGCACGGCAGTGGCCCGCTCCTGTGTGCACGGTCAAAACTGTCATGACCTCTCTCGCCAATCTCTGCTGCGAGGCAGGTCATGGAAGGGGAACTGGATAGACGTATTGAGGAGGGTGTTTGGGACACCGGTCGTGCAGTGCACCGTCTCCCCTCCTCCTCCGCCTCCGCCTCCTCCTCTTCCTCCTCCTCCATGTTACTCCAGATTCGATCGTCATGGGGTGCCTCCAGACGATCCCATCCAGAATGCACCACTGAATGCGCCGCGTCCACTCCCTCCTCCTCCCTCGCCCCCTCCTGCTCATCCTGTTACTCTTCTTACTGCCCCTCCGTCTCTTCTTCCTCCTCCCAGTGATCTCCCCCCTACTCGTCCTACTCTTTTTCCTCCTCCTCCTCCTTGTCCTCGTCCTCCAACCCCTCCCCGCCTTCGCCGTGCTCTCTTCCTCCTGCTCGCTATCACTCATCCTCTTCCTTCTCGACTTGCTCATGTTCCGGCTCGTCTTATCCCACTCTGCTACTATCCTGTTATTCCTCATCTTTCTTGTCGTCCTCCCCCACATCTCCCTTCGCCTTGTCATATTGATACTGCTCGCAGTGAATCCTCCTCCTACTCCTGCCACTCCTAGCCATGATCTGTATCATCCTACTCCTCGAGCTCCTCCGCCTCCTCTTCATCATACTACGCATTTTTTGAATATCATTATTCCTATCCCACTCGTCACCCCTCATCACTATCCTACCAGTCCTCACTCAACTCCAGCTCATGCTTCCCGCCTCCCCTCCTCGTCACCTACTCGTTTTCATTCTCCCGCTCGCAAAACTCAAAACTGAAGACGCTGGCCACTCTCCCTTTCCGCCTCCCTCTCGCTCTTCATCCCGCTTCCTTTCCCTCCTCCTTCCTCCTCCTCCTTCCTCCTCCTCCTCCTCCTCCTACCTGCTCCTTCTCCTCAGCCTCTCCGCGCCTCTCCTCCCGCTCCTCCTACTTTCTTCATACCCCTCACCCTCGTTATTCTTTGCCTCCTCCAACTCCTGCTCCCCCTCCGTGTCTGGCATCGCCCTCTCCAACTCGGCTGCGTCGCCTGGTTTTTGCTTTTCTGACTGGACCGTCAGCGCAAGGGCGATCGATCGATCGGGGCCACCTGAGGCTTCGACCATCTCCACTCCACTATCGATATCGTTACCTGGGGCGGCGTGACGATGGAGAAGGGGGAGAATGCCTCTGCCCGTCCTGCCCCCTCCCCCCCCACCTCCCACTCCCCTTCTCCCAGCCCCTCGCTGCTCCACATCCCCCCCCAGTTGTCCTCCCCTCCTCAGCCTGCCCCTTCCCCCTGCTAATAGGGTGGGGTACTTGCCCCTTCTGAGCCCCAGGAGGAACAAGGGGAATGAGGAGGAGGAGGATCATAATGGGGATGATGAGAAGGGAAAAGGACATGGAGCAAGAGGAGGAAGATGATGATGATGAGGAATTCAAGGTGGGGAGGCAGAGCATGATCACGAGTGGAACGGGGACAAGGAAGAGGAGATAGAGGAAGAGGAGATAGAGAGGAGAAGAAGGATTGGGGCAAGAATTCGGAAGGAAACGATGAGGACGTGTAACAAAACCAACTGGCAATAACGATCAGGATTGTGGTGAGCCCAGACCTGCCGGAAAATCGTGTCCAGCCCAAAGATGAACAAGGATCTTTGGCAAATGGTCTTTTCCTTGTCGTGGACCTTGATGCTCCTGAGGAAGCATTACTCTTGTTGCCGCTGGCCTCTCACGACCTGCTTCTCTCTCTCTCTCGCTCTCTCTCTCTCTCTCTCTCGTCCCGCTCTCTCTCTCTCTCTCTCTCCCTCTCTCTCTCTCTCTCCTTCCCTCTCACCTTTCCCTATATGCCATCCCGCCCCCCCTGTCCGTCATCGGCGTCACCGCCATCGACACCACCGTTGTGGTCAACGCCGTTTGATGAGCGCGCGCGGATCCTGAGGGTCCCGAACTCGTCGCCAAGCATGACGCCCGAGCTGGTTGCCACCAGCCCTGACGGCGCAAGGCCCTCCCGCCCGCCGCTCTGCAAGAGGCTTCCTCTCGCACCCGCTCGCCCTTCCGATTACGGTCGGGAACGTTTGCTTAGCACTCGCATCGCGCGGACGTTCATTCCCTGTGTTTTTGTTCGGTTTCGTGCGTGGCTTTTTCGCCAAATGATCAAGGATGCTCCTCGATGGTCCTCGCAGAGGAAAAAATGCACACGTCCGAGCGATGCCAAGGCCCCAGAGACACGCTATGCCTTGTAAACTAACAGCGTGTCGCTCCGCTCCGCGTGGCGGGAGCTTCGGAAAGGATGGGGACGTTGACGCCAGGAATTTGGGGAGTGGTCAGCGTGTCGCGCCGAAGCGTGGTGGACCAGGACTGGCGGAACGACGCGTCAACTCAAAGTTCCCGACCGTATCCCTTGCCCCCCTCGTCCTCCTGCCCCTGTTCCTGCTCCCAGCAGCCACTGCCACGGTTCCTGCTCTCCGTCATATCGCCGATACTGCTGCATCACCTCCTTCTCATGCAGATCCTGCTCCTGCCCCCATCCACCTCCTCCTCCCCCTCCCCCTCCACCTTCTCCTCTTCCTCCTCCTCCTCCTCCTTCTCTTTCTCCTCCTCCTCCTCCTCTTCTTCCCCAGCTCCCCTCTATCTCTCTCTCTCTCTCTCTCTCCCCCTCTTCCAACACCCGCCCCCCGCCTCCACCTCTTCCAACACTCTCCCCCATCGTCCTCATCTTCCTGCTGCTCCTCCTCCTCCCTCCTTCCTCTCTCCTCCCTAATCCCTCCTTGTTCCTCTCTCCTCCCTGTTCCGTCCTCATCCTCCCTCCTCCTCCTCCCTCCCTCCTCTTTTCCTCCTCCTCCTCCTTCTTCATTTAAGCTAAACCAACCTCGGGAAAGTACATATGGCGTTCCTGAAAGCAACACGCTTAAAACATACGCGAGTCGGCTCCGGAAAAAAGAGAGACCTGATGGGCGCCGCGAACAATGCGGAAAAACGGAACCAGGAACACAATATACAGACAATTGAGTAGGCGCCCACTAGGTCCGAGAAGGCGGCGGTGACCTGAGTAAGATAGCCCCAATATAGACAACAGCGGTGGACTGAAACACCACTTCTGTTCTATGGTCGTGCCGCTAGTAAGACGGAGGCTGTAAGGAATGTGCTCTGCACGCGAGGTAAGTGTCGCCACGGGCAAATGCTATCGAGGCCGGGCCTCTGGCGAGATAGCCTGTGGTATGGCTGGCGTCCCTCGTCTGAGGGTCATTGGGCCTTAGAGATGGGCAGTTTTCCTCCCACCCGTAAGGTAACGTGCCCGCTCCCTCCAGTCCCAGTCGATTTGACAGTACGTGAAGCACGAAGCGCGCCCGCACATGGGCACCGCGTCAAGGGTGCTGCGGGTGCGGCGCCGGAACGCCGGATCAGGTGTTGCCCGTGAAGCTGGAGATCATGCCCTTGAGGCTGGAAGTCGAAGGCTGGAGGTGGAAGCCTGGATGGTGGTGACTGGCAGTGACTGCTGTAAGTCTTAAGCTGAAGGCTGGGGTTCGGCCGCACGATGCGAGAGGTCGATAGGTGAAGGTCGAAAGCTGGAGGTGAAGGTTGAATGTTGTCAGCTGCCGGTGAATGGTGGGAGTCGGAAGTTGGACGCTGAATGTCGGTCAGCGAGGTGGAAGTCGACAGGTGGAGGTCGAAAACTGGTGGTGGAAAACTTGAGAGTCGGCAACTGAGAGTGGATGGTGGAAGTCGGAAGTTGCAAGCTGGATGCCAGTAGCGTGAGGTAGGAAGTCGATAGGTGGAGGTCGAAGGCTGGACGTGGAAGATTGGGAATCGACAACGGTTGGTGCATGGTGGGAGTCGGAAGTTGGAAGCCGGAGGTCGGCCAGATGAGGTGGAAAGGTGAAAGGTGAAGGCTGAAAGCTGGAAATGAGACTTTGGATGTCATCAACTGTTGGTGGATGGCGGAAGTCGGAAGTTGGAAGCTGGATGCCGGCCAGGTGGGGTGGGAAGTCGACAGGTGGAGATCGAAAGCTGGAGGCGGACCAGAGGTCAGTCAAATGAGGTGGGAAGTCGATAGGTGGAGGTCGAAAGCTGGGCGTGGAAGATTGGGTATCGACATCGGTTGGTGGATGATTGAAGTCGGAAGTTGCAAGCTGGAGGTCGGTCGGGTGGGGTGGGAAGTCGACAGGTGAAGGTCGAAAGCTGGAGCTGAAATATTGGGGGTCGACAACTGATGGACGATGGCGGTAGTCGGAACTTGGAAGGTGGAGGTCGGTTATGTGAGGTGGAAAGTCGAGAAGGTGGAGGTCGAAAGCTGGAGGTGGGAGAGTGGGGAACGACTGCTGATGGTGGGTGGTGGGAGAGGGAACTGGCTAAGACGGCACCCCCAAGACGGCACCCCCAAGACGACGCCATCACGACGACGCCCCCAAGACGACGCCCCGAAGACGGCCGAATAACCGCCGACCCGCGCCGAATGTTCTGGGGTCACGAGGCGCAATCCGCGGGCCTACTCTCGGGCCCCCAGGCGCGTGAGGCAGTGGCTGAATGACTATACATGTGTATGTGTGCACGCACGCATATATGTATGTATGTATGTATGTATGCATGTACGTATGTATGTTTGTATGTATGTATATATATATGTGTGTATGCATGCATGCATGCATGTATGTATGTGTGTATGCATGTATGTGTGTATGCATGTGTGTATGTACGTATGTATGTGTATGTATGTATGTACGTATGTACGTATGTATGTATGTATGTATGTATATGTTTGTATAGATGTGTGTGTATATGTATATGTATATTTACATGTATGTATGTATGTATGTATGCATGTATGTACGCGTGTATGCATGAATGTATGATGTATGCGTGGATGCTTGTATGCATGGATGTCTGCCTGTGTATATGTATGCATACATGTACGCATGCATGCACGTGCGCGTGCAATTATACATGCATGCATGTAGGTGTGTATGTATATGTGTGCCCATGCATGTATGTACGGACGTAGTCATCTGTATACATACATACATAAATACGTATAGCAGTAACAGGTCAATTAACATATATATATAGGTGTATGTACGTATGTATGTATGTCTGTATGTATGTATGTATGTATGCATGTATGTATGTATGTATGTTTGTACGCATGTATGTATGCATATATATATATATATATATATATATATGTGTGGGCCCCCTCTCCCCCGCAGCCGCACGAAACGATGGACGCCGACCCGCGCCGAATACTCTCTGGTCGCGAGGCGCACTCCGCGGGCCTCTTCTCGGGCCCCCAAGCGCACGAGGCAGTGGCCGCCGACCCGCGCAAAATCCTCTTGGGCAGCGAGGCGTGGTCAGCGGGCCTCCGCGCGGAATGCTCTTGGGTCGCGAGGCGCGATGCGCGGGCCTCCAGGCGCGCGATGTAATGGCCGCCGACCCGCGCCGAATGCTCTTGGGTCACGAGGCGTCATCCGCGGGCGGCGAACTGACGGGCAGCTTCGAGAGCGGACCCAAGGAGCACTGAAGAGAGGGCCCACAGATGGCCCCATGATGGCCAAAGATGACTCCAAGAGGGGTCCAAGAGAGCTTCCATACGGGATGCGGGGCCACCTGGGTCGGCCATCGAGAAGGCGACAGAGGACTCGGGGGAGGACCCAAGGAGCCCCGAAGAGAGGGCTCAAGAATGAGCCCTTTGAGCCTCAACGATAGCTCCAGAGTGGCTAAAGAGTGCTTCCAAGCGGGGCTGCTTGGGTCGGTCTCGGAGATGGCCAGGGGGCATTGTGGCTGAGGGGGCCCGCCTTGAGCTTGTCTTAGGAGGCTTTTGGGCGGTCTCGGGGCGGTCTTGGGAGTCTCTTCGGTCGTCTCTGAGCGTTGGAAGCGTGAAAAATTGAGAGAATCAAAAACTTAAATTCAATTATTTGTGTTGCTCTCCGGGCTCTCTCGGGACGTCTCTCGGAGTTCTCTTGCAGTGTCTTGGAGGTTTCTGGAGGTCTCCTGGGAGTCTGGAAAACCGTCCACAGACTATTTTGCTTCAGCTGTTCTTTTGCATTCTGAAAGATTCTTGGGGCTGTCTTGGGGCGTCCTGGAGCGTTTTGGGAGCTCCCCAGGAAGCCGGGGAGCGTGGTACCGGGCGCCTCTTCGGCAATTTTGGGGGTTTCTTGGCCCGTCTTGGACACGTCCTGGGAATCTTTTGGGCGGTCTTGCGGCGGTCTTAGACCGTTGGAAGCTCGAAGACGCGAGAAGGCCAAAAACATTGAACAAACAAAACGAATCAACGAATTTGACCTCTTCGGGCTTTCCTGGGACGCCTCTCGGACCTCTCTGGGGGCCTTCTGGAGGCCTCCTGAAGGCCTGGAGAGCCATCGAAAGGATGTCTCGGGCTGCGCGGGAGCGTGTTCGGCCGTTCTTTACGTTCTGGGGGCTCCTTGGGGTCATCATGGGCTGTCCTTCGGCGTCTTGGGGTCTCCACCCGGGAAGCGGGGAGGCGCGGTACCGGCCAGATGTCAGGGGATGTGTAGGACCCCCGAGTAGGAGTCCCACTTTGAAAAAAGGGAAGTCTGGGAATTCCCTTTTTTTCTCTCTCCAAATCCTCGATCTTGGAGGGTTGGAAGCGGGAAAACGTGAGAAGACGAAAAACATTAGAAAAACCATGGGAGATCAACGATTTTACCCTATTTGGGCTCTCTCGGGACGGCTCTCACAGCTCTCTTGGGCTGTTCTTGGAGCCTTGTCGGGGTTTTCTGGGGCCTCTCAGGGATCGGGGGTGTGCTGGGGGCCTCTGGGTGGTCCCAGAGGCCTCTCGGAGGTCTCTGGAAGCCTCCTGCTCCCGCTCTTGGGCCCATCTTGGGCCTGTTCTGGGGTGGTCTGGGGCTGTCCTGGGCGCCTCTTCGGCAGTCTTGGAGCCTTCTTGGCCCGTCTTGGGGCCGTCCTAAGGGTCTCTTGGGTGGTCTTGGGGCGATCTTGGGCGCCTCTTCGGCGCTCTTGGACCGTTGGAAGCTCAAAAACGCGAGAAGCCAAAGTCATTAAACAAAACAAATGAAATTCAACGAGTTTGGCCTCTTCGGGCCGTCCTGGGACGCCTCGCGGACCTCTCTTGGGGTCTCTTGGAGGTCCCCTGCGAGCCTCGAGAGCCGTCGGAAGGCTGACTTGGGCTGCTTGGGAGCGTCTTGGACCATCCTTTCGCATTCTGGGGACTCCTTGGAGTCGTCTTGGGCCCTCCTGGAGCGCTGTGGACGCTCCCTGGAACGCCCCGGGGAGCAGTACCGGGAGCGTTCCCGCGATGTCACAGGGAGGTGTGGCACCCGGGGCTGGGGGGGTATTCATTTATATGACATGTATGTTTGTATGCATATATGCATGTATGTATATATGTATGCATGCATGCATGCATGCATGTGTTATGTCTATGTCTACGTATATGTCTATATATATATACACACGTGTGTCTACGTTTATGTCTATGTCTATGTCGATGTCGATGCCGATGTCGATGCCGATGTCTATGTCTATGTCTATGCCTACGCCTATGCCAATGTCTATGCCTATGCCTATGTCTATGTCTATGTATATGTCTATGTCCATGTCCATGTCTATGTCTGTGTCTGTCTATGTATCTGTCTATGTATATGGATATGTCTATGTATATGCCTATGTAGATGTATATGTATATGGGTATGTATAGGTATATGTATACGTATGTGTGTATGTTTATGCTTATGAATTTGCATGTGTATGTGTAGATGTATGCATGCATGCATGCATGTATAGCTGTATGTATGGATGTATGTGTGTATGTATGTATGTATGTATGTATGTATGTATGTGCTTATGAATGTATGTAGCTATATATGCATAACTATTCATGTATATGGAAATGCGTGTATCGATGAACGTTCGTACATACACATGTGTAGGTGCGCGTTGATGTAATGTATGAACTTTGATGGTCATCACCAACAATCCCAGCCGCAACCGCCGCGGTGCTCAAACGCCGACGGGCTGCGACCTAAAAGCCTGCGACTAAGCTTCGGCCAATGCTGTGGGTGCTCTGGGTGTTCCGGGTGCTCTGGGTGCTCTGGGTGCCCCGGGTGCTTTGGGTGTTCCAGGTGCTCTGGGTGTCCCGGATGTCCTGGGTGCTCTGGGTGTCCTGGCCTGAGGCCGGAGAGGAGACTCGCCCCAGCAAGTCCGAAACGAAATCCAGCGCTCGACCCCAGCGCAACGGCATGGAGGCGCATGCGCACACCTCGGGAGGGCGGAGGGCGACCAGACCACAACACGTGTCCGAGAAACATATGTGGCGACGCTGGCGCCGCCAGCCGCGCGGTGGCAAATGCGGCGGCAGCAGCCGCGGCGCCAGGAGCGGCGGCGCGCGCCAGTGTCGCCAAACTCGACCTTCTTGGACCCAAATCTCTTCTCCTTGGATGCCGATGTCGGCTGCTTCTCGCCCTCCGAGGGATTCGAAGATACCTCGGCGCTTTCGAGCGAGCCCCATATCCGGTTGCTCTGCACCCGCGGCTCGGCAATGCCGTCAGCGTCATCTGCGCCTCAGTGCGCTATCGGTCACCCTCCCGCCCATTCGTCATTCTGCTTCAACTGGCCTTCTCTTGGTCCTGAGCAGGTTCCTGCTCATGCTGCTGCTCTTCCTCCACAATTTCCTCCTGCGTCCGCTGCAGCTCCTCCTCCTCCTCCTCCTCCTTCTCCTCCTCCTCTTGCACTTGCTCAGGTTCTCCTGTTGTCGTCGTCGTCTCCTTCTTCGCCTCCTCTTCCTACTGCCACCTCCTCCTCCACTTCCTCACCCGCTCCTCCTGCACTTTGCCCATCATCTTCTCTCTGTGATGTCTGTTGCGACCTGTCCGCATGTCAGCAAAGCGTGCAAGAATACCCAAGGCCCACAATTGTGGGTATGCATGGGGGGTATTCGTGCTGTCGGGGCTATTTTCGACCAGCAACAATCAAACGGATTGCGCGAGCGAGGACACACAACGGCGTGCTCCAAAGCCACTGCAACTCACCGCAGGCGCATACTTTCTTTCAAACGGATGTGGGTGTGTCGCGAATGCGTCGCTGGCGGGTCACGCGGGTGGGAACGAATAATTAATGGTGCTCTCATTCCCGGACAGAACTATAAGCTTTAAGTTGCCCCAAGACGACCCATCGGCTCCGAAAATGGCCTTCGAAGGCGTCAGACGGCCCCCAAGAATGCCCCAAATGCCCTGAGCGAGTCCCAAGACAATCCCAAGGCGGCCCCTCCCCAATGTTCCCCGAATGGTTTCTCCAACAGCAGGGGGAACACGCAATCCACTAGCGTGGCCGTGCTTCCGCTCGACATTTCACGACACATGCGCTTCAAGAGCTCAGGGAACGGCGGCGACTCTCCGTAAGCGCCTTCGAGAAGAATAATGAAACCAATGACAAAGATACCAAGCAGATAGATAAACCGAAACCATAAACAACATACCCAATCATTATAATCCCACCAGCTCTCTGGGCTTGGATGGTGTAGGGCGTTTCCTCGTCCAACCCCGTTCTGCCCCATTCGGGGAAGGGTTTGCACCTCCCCATGCTGAGACTCGGGTGCTATCAATAGGTTGGGAGGGCGGGCGTGGGTGAGCGAGGCGGCTTGCGTTTTGTGGATAACTTGATCGCTGCTCCATATTGGTTAACACCTCCTCCCCGACTCCACCAGCGACCAGCCAACACCCATGCCCTCCCCCCCACCACCCCTTGCCAAAAGACAACACAAAGTGCACTTTGCGGCAAAGTATTGGGTCATGTTCGGGGGGACCGCGAGCACTTTGTATTGCTTTGTCGACAGGGGCGGCGTGCGGACCAACAGATTGCCTACTGTGCGCAGGGCCACCATCCCTGCCAACGAAACCATGCAAACTGCATCTCGATGCTCTGGATCATGCGGTGGCACCCCGCGATCACTTTACATTGGCTTTTGACGAGGACGGTGGGGTGCTGGCATAGGGCCGATGTGTGTTCAAAATGTGCGCGGGCGCGGCGCACCTGGCACCACCAGAGCATGCTGCACACCTGCGCACGTTGAGCACGTGGCGCATCTGTCGCACCAGGCGTGCCTGGCACGCTTGGACCCCAGAGGCGCCTGGCGCGACTGGTGCGCGTGGCGCGCCTGACACGCGTGGCGCGACTCGGCCTAGCGTCACGCACCTCACTCCAGCGTCGCACAGCTGCGCATCCAAAGACGATCGCTGAATATGCGGAGCTTCGGGTACTATTTATGTGTTGGGAGGGCGGGCTGTGGTGAGCCAAACAGCTTGATATGGAAAAAAACTGGAGCCCTCCCCCATACCCCTCCCCTGGATCTGGCAGGGGGGAGCTGAATTGTTAGAGCGCCAAGGTTGGCCCAAGCAGGCTCCAAGAGGAGCAAGCAAGTCAGTGGTGGCCTCCCAAATGGCTCAGGATAGCGGAGAAAGCGCATTTCGCGGGCGCTTGCCTTGGGAACATTCGGCGGCGCGTTTCGAACGGGGGGGTGGGCCCCCCCCCAACACTCGGCGCCGGCGCCTGCGCTGGCCAGCAGTGCCGACGGCGGGGACGCAGCGACGATTGCCAAAAAGAACCCAAAGGCAGCAGAGGGAACACGCAAAATCGCCAAATCGAGCCCTCGCCCCACAGAGGCCACCGAGAGGCCCTGAGGAAGGTCCACGAGGCCTCACATATGCTCCTCAGACGCCCACGAGACCCTTCTGACGAGACCTCAAGAGGCATCATCCATTAAAACTCTGACTCGAAGCCAAAACACAGTGGCGGGAAGAGCCGAAGGCCTCACCACCACCACAAACAACCACACCACCACCACCACACAACCACTACCACCACAATCACCACAACCAACCACCACCACAACCACCACCATCACCACAAACCACAACACCACCACCACCACCAAAAACGCCACCGCCACCAGCACCACCACAACCCACCACGACCACAACCACAACCACAACACCACTTGCACCACAAACCACCACACCATTACCACCACCATCACCACCACCGCCACAACCACAACCATCACCACAAGCAACCACCGCCACCACCACCACGAACCACCACACCACCACCACCACCACCCACCACCCACCACCCACAACCACCACCAGCGCCGCTACCAGCAGCAGCAGCAGCACCACCACCACCACCACCACAGCCCACCACCACCACAACCACCAGAAACCACCACGCCACCACCACCACAACCACCACCATCACCACAAACCACAACACCACCAGCACCACAACACAAACTACCGCCAAGACCACCACCGCCATCATAACAACAAACCACCACACCACAACCACAAACCACCACCACCACAAACCACCACCACCACAAACCACCACCACCACCACAAACCGCCACCACACCACCACCAAACCACCGCCACCACCACAAACCACAACACCACCACCACCAGACACGCCACCACCACCAGCACCACCACCACCACCATCACAACCCACCACCACCACCACCACAGCCACCACCACAACCACCACGACCACCACCACCACCGCTACCACTACCACACCACCACAACCCACCACCACCACCACAAACCACCACACCACCACCACCACCACCACCAACCACCACCACAGCCACCACCACCACAACAAACCACCACCACCACCACCACAAACCCCCACAACCCACCACCACCACAACCACGACCACCACCACCACAACCACCACGAGAAACCACCACACCACTACCGCCACCACCACCACCACCTTAACCCACCACCACCACAACTACCACCACCACCACCACCAAAAACCACCGCACCACCACCACCACCGCGACCACCACCACAACAACCTGCCACCACAACCACCACAACAACCACCACCACCACCACCAACCACACCACCACCACCACCACCACCGCCATCACCACCACCACCACCACCACCACCACCACTGCCCACCACCACCACCATCACCTCAGAGAGGCCCGAAGAGACGCCCAAGAGGCGCCCGGGAGGCTGCACAAATGCCCTTCAGAAGCCCCGAGAGCCCTCCGACGAGACCCCAAGAGGCATCCATTAAGACTCTGACCCAAAACCAAGGCACGTTGGCGGAGCGTCGTCGTCGTCGTCGTCATCGTCGTCGCCGTCGTCCTCGTCGACCTCTCCGCCGCCGCCGCCCGCCGCCGCAGGCGCCGGCGCCGGCCCAGAAAAGGAAGTCGTCGTCCCCGCCGCCGCCGCCAGCCGTCGCCGACGCAGGCGCCGGCCTGAGGAGAGGGAGAAAGGAAAAGTAGGGGAGGAGGGGGAGGGGAGGGTGGCAAAGTTCGCGCGAAAACGGTTCGCCGTTCGCGCGAAAACGGTTCGCGCGAAAACTGCGGCCGTTCGAGCGAATTCCTTTCGGCGCGTGCGCGCGAAAAGGGATGAAGCGCTGCGGGGGACCGGGTATTTGGAGAGGTCGAACCTGGAAAAGCCCGAAATTCCAGTTCCCAGCTGTGTCCCTCTGTGTCCCTCTGTGTCCCTCTGTGTCCCTCTGTGTCCCTCTGTGTCCCTCTGTGACCCTCTGTGACCCTCTGTGTCCCTCTGTGTCTCCCTGTGTCCCTCTGTGTTTCTGTGTGTCCCTCCGTGTCCCTCCGTGTCCCTCCGTGTCCCTCTGTGCTTCTCTATGTCCCTATGTGTCCCTCTGTGTTTCTCTGTGTCCCTTTGCGTTCCTCTGTGTCCTTTTATGTTTCTCTGTGTCCCTCCGTGTCCCTCTGTGTCCCTATGTGTCGCTCTGTGTTTCTCTGTGTCCCTCTGTGTCCCGCTGTGTCCCTCTGTGTCCCTATATGTCCCTCTGTGTCCCTCTGTGCTTCTCTGTGTCCCTATGTGTCCCCCTGTGTTTCTCTGTGTCCCTTTGTGCTCCTTTGTGTCCCTTTGTGTTCCTCTGTGTTCCTCTGTGTCCCTCTGTGTCCCCCTCTGTGCTTCTCTGTGTCCATATGTGCCCCTCTGTGTTTCTCTGTGTCCCTTTGTGTTCCTTTGTGTGTCCTTTTGTGTTTTTCTGTGTTTCTCTGTGTCCCTCCGTGTCCCTCTGTGTCCCTCTGTGTCTCTATGTGTCCCTCTGTGTCCCTCCGTGCTTCCATGTGTGAATATGTGTCCCTCTTTGTCCCTCTGTGTCCCTCTGTGTTTCTCTGTGTCCCTCTGTGCTTCTCTGTGTCTCTCTGTGTCTCTCTGTGTCCCTTTGTGTCTCTCTGTGTCCCTTTGTGTCTCTCCGTGTCTCTCTGTGTCCCTCTGTGCTTCGCTGTGTTTCTCCGTGTTTCTCTGTGTCCCTTTGTGTTCCTCTGTGTTCTTTTGTGCTTCTCTGTGTTTCTCTGTGTCCCTCCGTGTCTCTCTGAGTCTCTCTGTGTCCCTCTGTGTCCCTCTGTGTCCCTCTGTGTCCCGCTGTGTCCTTCTGTGTCCCTCTGTGTCCCCTTGTGTCCCCCAGTGCCCCCCTGTGTCCCTTTGTGTCCCCCTGAGTCTACCTGCGTGTATCCACGTAGTTTTCGCTCGTTGCGTTTTCGCTTGAACGAACCAGCTTTTCGCTTGAACGAGCATCTTTTCGCTTGAACGAAATACCCTCGGACTCTGTGAGCCACCCCCCTCCCCAGGTCTTCACGCAAGCGCTGCGCCAAGACAGGGGGGACGCGATGCAGCACCGAGACGACGGCGGACCAGTCGATCGCCTCTGCATCCGCCCCGAACCAGCGGTGAAGACGGGTGGCGAGGCGGCACTGCACCCGAGGAGGGGAGGGGCAGAGGTGCGAGAGGAACGACTCGCACAATGCAGTCTGCGGGCGCAACTTGCGTGACCGGGTCGCGCTGTCTCCATGCATCCTCGCCGCAACCATCGCCTAGAGGAGGGGGGGAAGGAGGAGGGGGAGGAGAAAGAGAGGGAGGAGGAGGAGGAGGAGGAGGAGGAGGAGGAGGAGGAGGAGGAGGAGGAGGAGGAGGAGGAGGGGGAGGGGGAGGGGAAGAGGAGGAGGAGGAAATGAAGAATGAGGTGGGAATCGGAAAAGGAAGAGGGGGAGGCCCAGGATGGGGGAGGGGGGATGGATGAGGGTCGGGCAAAAGGGGGAGGGAGCGGAGGAGCAGCGTGAGGGTTCCCCAAAACTACCGGGGCCCGCGCCCGAGGCCGGCGGATGCGGAGCCACGGTCACGCTCACGGGGGAGATCAGCATCTCTGCGAGCGGCAACCAGGCCACCTGGGCCGTAAGTCAATGGTTTTGCCGCTTGGGCGGAGGCGAGGGGGGGAGGGGGGGGGAGAGGGGGAGGGGGACAAGCTAGGTGCGCTCGCGTCATATCTGACGTCCTACCCCTCCCTCCCATCCCTTACCATGGCGCTGATTTTCTCTATCCGCGGACGCGTGTCGTAGCGGACCTGTGGCTCCGCGCGCGCGTGCGTAGTGGGTGGTGGTGCGTGCGTGCGTGCGTGCGTGTGTGCGTGGTTGTGGTGGTGGTGGTGGTGGTGGTGGTGGTGGTGGTGGTGGTGGTGGTGGTGGTGGTGCTGGTGGTGGTGGTGGTGGTGGTGGTGGTGGTGGTGGTGGTGGTGGTGGTGGCTGGTGGTGGTGGTGGTGGTGGGTGGTGGTGGGTGGTGGTGGTGGTGGTGGTGTGGTGGTGGTGGTGGTGCTGGTGGTGGTGGTGGTGCTGGTGGTGGTGGTGTTGGTACTGGTGCTGGTGCTGGTGGTGGTGGTGGTGGTGGTGGTGGTGGTGGTGGTGGTGGTGGTGGTGGTGGTGGCGGTGCGGCGTGGTGGTGGCGGGCGGATGGGCGCGCGAGAAAAAGGCCCGCGCTGGGGCGAGAACGCCATCCTGAACGACGGAGGCCAAACACCGATCCGAAAATGAGGCCCACGCTGCAGCGGGAGCACGATTCGGAACGATTCGGGAGCAGAAATGAGGCCGGCGCCTCAACGAGAGCAGCATTTTGAGAAAAAATGACGCCGGCGCCTCAGCGAGAGTCGTTTCCCGGGATTTTTCGGGCATCCTGTGTGTAAAAAACAGTACGCGGAGGGTGCGCGGCTATCACCTGGACGCCATCAGGGGAAGGATTCGGGAGCAGAAATGAGGCCAGCGCCTCAACGAGAGCAGCAGTTTGGGAAAAAATGACGCCGGCGCGAGAGCAGCATTTTGAGAAAAAATGACGCCGGCGCCTCAGCGAGAGTCGTTTCCCGGGATTTTTCGGGCATCCTGTGTGTAAAAAAACAGTACGCGGAGGGTGCGCGGCTATCACCCGGACGCCATCAGGGGAAGAGGGAGAGTATATTCATATTGAGTAATTGTAGAGGAGGAGGAGGAGGAGGAGGAGGAGGAGGAGGAGGTCGAGCGTGCCCAAAGGGGTTCCTCTGTCCGCAGACCCTCAGAGAATCAGCCGCCTGCACAGCAGGTAATGAATGACAGCGAAGCAGTACAGATAAACAGGATAGTACACTATGGGTTGATGGAATAGAAGACGAGCCAGAACCCGAAGAGGACCCGCCGCCCCAGTAAAGGAAGCGTGGACCAGGTGCTCAATCGATGTCTGGTTCAGGAATCTCGGTATCCGAATCTGCCAGCAACTCAACAAGCAGCTGGCCATAAATTTCTTACATCTGCACCTTAATAACACGACCCTCAAACATAATATGGTTGCTGGGCTTCGAAACCGCTGCTATCCTCTGAGGTTGAGTAGATGCAGCAGCCACGGGACGCGGAGTTTCCACATCCTCTTCAGAGATACAGCCCTCAGGGCGAATGAAGACACAGTCCTTGCGGTAGCATCTACGCTCGCACTTGCCGAACCGCGGTGCCGAGGACGATGGTGAGGACAGCGAGGTCGGACCACGGCTGGATGAACTTTCCAAGTCGTATACTTTAATGTCGAGCTCACGCACGCGCTCAGCAACCCTCGCGACGATGGGCTGGAACTGGCCCACGAACGCCGTGGCAGAGGATTCGACGATGCGCGGCAATGCCTGCTGGACCTGCGCAGCCGCAACAGATTTGATGATACCTGGGAGAATGTCTTTCATAAGCTCATCCGCATAAGCTCGAGTTCGTGCGCCCACCTCCAGCACCTAGGCATCAATGTACTGACTCACAGAATCCAGCGCCGCGCCCTCGTGAGGATCTTCCTTGCCGGCACCTGGCGCCCTCGACCTCGAAGCCCGTGCTGCCAGAGGCTGCCGAGGTGGAGGCCACAACCGCGTCCTCTTTCTCATCCAACATGCCGCGCAGCATGGCGATAGACCCATTTTGACTCTCAACCAGGTGTTGATAAGATGCCAGCTGCTGATCCTAAGTGGATTGCGCCAGCGACAGAATGCCAGGGACTGAGAGAATTACCATCGACAAGGTGCCAGAGATGACCGCGCCACCGCCTGCATGAGAAACATGATGAAAAGGGCATCGTAAATATAGACGCCTCCTTGCGCAAGACAGAGCGTGACATTCGAGGCTGATCGTACTGCGGTGCACAAACAGGTACAAACCCATCAAATTCAGGAGAAGAAGCTTCGAGTATCGATTCCAACTCTGCGAGGAATTGCGACTCCAACATCTCGGTTGAATGCCAAAGAAACAAATGTGAAATGACAATGTGTTGAAGTCGACGTCGGAACGCCGTGGGGAACTCCTTTCGATTCGAATTCACAGTTTGCTTGAGACCAGAACCGTGTTGCCGCGCGGCCGACGAAATCAACCGCAGTGCGCAACTGGCCAGGCAGGACACTTGCCCGCACGCCGCGTCCATGGAGGCAGATGCTACACCAAGTTTGATACCTGCACATTACACGAAGCCACCGGGAAATGACTGCGCAAGAGACATAGCAACGCTGGCTTGAGCTAAGCTGAGCAAAAGAAACCCGTATTGCGCCACAGTGGCTACGGAGAAGGAGGAGGAGAAATAACGCAAATGGGTAAATAAAGGATCTGTGAGGGGCGGATGGAATAATGAAGGGGGGGTGAGGCCGAAGAAGGAAGGAAGCAACAGAGGAAGGATGGACACAGAGGAGGGATGGTGAGGAGGAGCAGGGAGGGACGAAGGGAGGGAGGGAGGGAGAGAGACAGAGAGAGAGAGAGAAAGAGAGGGAGGAGGATGAGGAAGAGGACAACACCTTTTCCATTCCCCTGCGCGCTGGTGCCTGCGACCCAGACGCTTCAAACGCGGCGCCACGCGCAATGCCGAGCGCGGCTGCACCCCACGAGTGGGCACCAACACGGGCGAGTGCTATCCGAGACCCGGGAGGAACCACGGAAGGCACGCGCCCCACCCCCGCAGGGACGGCTGGACCCCAGAAAGCTGGAGAACCGGAGAGCCCGAGGCCCAAGAGGCGAGCCCAGATGCCCCACGGAAGCGAACGCCCCCAGACCCAGGAAACCCAGGAAGCCCAGGACCCTGGAGCCCCAGAGGGAAATGGTAGCCAACCTGTGCTCCGAAACGGGCTTCGGCAGCTGCAAGGTCCAGGCTCGGCCAGTGCGCCGAATCCGTGCGAGGAGTCGGGAAGGTGCGAGAAGGACAAGGCGGAAGTTCTTTTGTGCCCCGCCGGTGGACGCCGAACAAGCCAGCTGCAGCGGTGCACTAAGCAGCGCTCCCACTCTCGTGAGTGAGGAAACCCAAATCTCGGAGAGCCCAGTTCTCTAAGACCGCCCCCTTGCTCCCAATGCGGGGACGGAGGCCACGTTCAAAACGGCTCCGCCGCTCCTTGCCCATCTTGTCAAGGAAAGAACCAGGGCGCTGGGCAGGGCAATTCTGTGTCGCCCACGCGGCTGCAAACTGAGCATGCTGTGCGCACTGCACGCAGCACATCACGAAGTCAGCTTGCTCTGGCGGTTTGCATTTCGGGTCGACCACCGCATCCCACAACACATGCGAGGCGGAAGGAGGGGTGATCAAGTCAGGGAGGAGGAGGGAGGGAGTGAGAGAGGGAGGGGCGAGGATAACGGCGAGGACACTTCTGAGGGCGAGCAGGGTGGCCCTTTGCTCTCGTCGTCCTTCTCGTCATGCCTTCTCCTCCGCCTCCGCCCTCGGCATCCTCCTCCTGCTCGCCCCTCTCGCTCTTCCATGTGTCTTCCTGGTCGTCGCCGTCCTCCTCCCATCCCCCCCCTTCCTCGCTCTGCGTCACCCCCTTTCTCGTCATCCTTGCCCTCCTCCTTTCTTATCCTTCTCCTGCCGCAATCCAACCTGGCCGCCACCGCCGCTACCGCCGTCGTTACCGCTTTCACCGTCACGCGCGTCTAATCGCTGGCGCTCGCCGACGCTGTCGCCAATACGCGTGGCCATCGCTGCCGCTGCTGCCGCCTCCACCCCCCCCCCCGCCCCTGCCCCGGCGGCGGAGGTGCTGAGGGCGGCGGTGGCTACGGTGGCGATGGCCATTGCGGTTGCTATCGTTATTTATGGTCATCCCCCGCCTCCCGCTTCTCCTCCTCGTCTTCCTGTTCTCGCTCCTGGTCACACTCACATCCTTGCTCCCTGCTCTTGCTGCTGCTCCTCCTCGTCGTCCGACTCCTCTCTGGGAATGGTTGCCCATCATGGTATGGTCATGGCCCATGACTGCCAGCCGTTTCAATGAAGCTCCTGCTGGGGCGTTTCCCTCCTCCTCCTCCTCCTCCTCCTGCTCCTCCTCCTCCTCCTCCTCCCCCTCGCCGTGCACCTCATCGCAATCCTACCACGCACTGACAACTTTCTTGCTTCTTGGGTATTATCGCCCTCCTCTCCTCCTCCTCCTCCTCCTCCTCCTCCCTCCTCCTCCTCCTCCTCCTCCTCCGTCTTCCTTCACCGTCTCCTGTCTCTCCTCCTTCTGCAGCTGCCGCTCCTCCTCCTCCTATTATATTATCCTCATCCCCCCTTCTTCCTCATCCCTTCTCTCTCTCTTCCCTCCCTTCTTACAGTCATCCCTCCCCCTTCCCGCTCACTCCTTCTCCTCCTCCGCCGCCTCCGCCTCGTCCTCCTCACGTCTACGCTTCGTCCTTCCAATCCTCCCTGCTCCTGCTTGTGCTGCTGCCGGCTCCTCCTGCCTGTTCATCCTTCCTGTTCCCCATCCCCTCTCCCTCTTCATCCTGGTGCCTCTGTCCTTGTCCAGTTCATCCCTCCCTCGCATGTTCATGCCCCTTCCATCCTCAGCATCCTTGTCCTGCTCCTCCCCCTTCCGCCTTCCCCCCCGTCGTCTACTAGATCTCCTTATACATGAACAGGGCGCGACCCCGATAAGGGGTAACCTTCCTAAGCAGGTAACTACTAAGCAAGGACGACATTACTTTGTATTGCTGGGCATTGCTTGGCATTGATTTGCCTTGCTTGGCGTTGCTTGGCATTTCATGTTATCGTGTTGAATTGCTTGGCGTTGCTTGCCATTGCTTTGCATAGCTTTGGGACGCTTGGCATTGCGTTGCCTTGCTTGGCATTGGTTTGCATTGCTTAACACTGTTTGTCACTGCCTGGCATTATTGCTTGGCCTTGCTTGACATTGCCTGGCACTACCTTGTATTGCTTGGCATTGATTTGCATAGGTAGTCAGTGCTTGGTATTGCTTCGCGTTGCTTGTCGCTGCTTCACATTGATAGACGGCACGAAATAAATACCAAGGAACCCGAAGAAGACAGCCAAATAACAAGATCAAACAATCCGAGGATGGCAGCCAAGAAACAGGCCCATGCAGCAACACGAGGAAGGCAATCAAACTACACGACCAAACAGCCTGAAGAAACCAATCAAGAAACAAAAACCATCACCCCGGGGAAGAAGCAACCCGGGAAAAGCCGGCTGGCCGGGCCAGGCACCCATCGGTTTTTTTTAGCAAGGACGAGCCCCCGAGGCAAAGCCGAGTCGGGGTACAACTCTTCTCTGTCGCAACGCAAGACGCATCCGTATGCCGGTCCAGGCGTGCTGGTGCCGAGTTCCTCACAACTTGCTATCCCAGAGCTGGATGGCTGCATCAACTACAGTGATGGTGGCCAGACTCTTTTCAAAATGCGGCTCTCGCCTTAGCGCAATCACATTCGTCGTAACACATGCAGCATTTACATGGATGGAGGCCAGGTTCTGTTCAACCCGTGGCCCTCGCCAAACAGCCATGCACGCTCGTCTTAACAAATGCAACGGCTACACAGATGGAGGCTGGCATGTTTTCGAAATGGGGCTCTCGCCTGAGACTTTCTCAAACATACCACAACGAGTATAACGTTGTGCAACAGATACACAGATGGAGGGAGGTTCCTTTTCAAAATGGGGCACCCACCTGAGACTTCGAAAGTCGGCGGCGAGCGAGGGAGGGAAATGAGAAGGAGGCCTTCTCAGAAGGCGGCGGGAGTTCTGAGGAGCTCTGGCTCCTTCTGAAAGGTGTTCTGTGTCTTCGGGAAGGTTTGGGAAACTTCTCAGAAGGACGGGGGACTCCTGAAGCTTCTGAGAAGGCCCGCCCCCTCTTACTTCCCCCTCCCCCAGGCTCGCGAGAGAAATTGAATGACCATGCGCGAGAAATCGCGCAACAGCGCAACAGCTGTACGGATGGAGAGGACAGCTCCTCTTCGAAGCGGGACTGTTGCTGGGCGCTTCTGCTGTCTTTCATAACCCGCCTTGCTGCAGTCCTTACAGCTCGGAAGATGGATGGCAACTTCTCTCAAACGGAGCTCCCGCCTGAATTGCGGGCCCATGTGCAACTCGTTTTTCAAGGGGGGCGCTTTGCGCGGCGGAATAGAGAAGGGAGCTTGGGACGGGTGGGTGTACTGCAACATCGTTGATACATCTTGGGTCAAGTGTGATCTTCCTGACAGTTCCCCTCACCCTCTTCTGTCTCGTCCACCTTGCCCTTCTCCTCATCCTCCCAGCCCCTCAACCAGCAGGCCACGAAACCGCCCTCCAGGCCTTCGACATCGTTTGATGAGTGGTGACCCGCTTGCAGATCCCGGGCGGTCCTGCCGATGACCGCCAAACGAACCTGGTGTTCAGGAAGTAAATGCGCGAAATCCTCGATGCTAGATCGCGCCACCTGGGCATGCCGTGCACCACATCTCACGGCCATGGAGGCACGATGCCCGATCTGCAAGTGCTTCCCACCCTCGACGGTAAATTCGGCTCTGCGTGATCCTGCCATCGTCATCCCCTCGTCCTGATCCTCCCTGAAGCTGCCTTGCCTCCCCATCATGCTAATCCACGTTCGCGCCACCTCGTCGAGAAGAGCTTGGGTACACCGACAACTGAATACCGAACGTTCGCAAATCCCCATGCGTGCTGCACGTCGGTCGAAGATTGGGACTTAGCGGGAACGCGACGGTGTCACGGCGCATATCCAACCAATCAACCTAGGACGCGATCGCACTTAGACAGA